CTAGTGAAAGGCATGTAGGCTTCTACATTTCCCTATACTTTCTGTATACAGATGCTCAAATAACTGAATGGTTAGCTCATTACAATGACATCTAAGATCTTTCTGGAGCCACAATTAGGATACCTTTCCTATAAAAGAAAAGCTTTACAGATCAGGAGCTTTCCTCTGCCACTCAACTTTTGTGGGTGAAAGCTGGTGCCTCTCATGTCACCCTACTGGCACCAGCCAGCCTGGCTGAGTTAGTGGACAAGCTCTGCCCAAATACAGCTTTATCTGTAGGGTAGCTTTCCTTTTAAGAAGATTTGGATTCAGCCTCATTTACATAGTTCAGGTGATGAATTGAAGATATACTATTCTTAGAAGAACCGGTTTTAGCCAGCAGCAAATAACTCAGCTGGAGTGAGAGATTCTTTGGGAGTCAGGCAAAAAAGCATTACCCAAAAAACCAACCCTTTTATGTATGGTGCTCATAACAGTGATCTACAGAGCTCAGGAGTATACAGCCAGCTAGGCACACAAGAGGGAAGAAAGTCTGCCTTGTCTCTGACAGTGAATGGTTTGCACCATTAGACTTTTGAGAGAAAGCAGGCTCTTGCCTGAGTCCCTGGAAGATGAGGGTTACTATCTTAAATTCAACAGGTTTTGTTCCACTTTGGGGAAATAAAGCAAAGACCTCCGAGAAGAGGAACCTAGAAAATCTGACCTCGAAGAATGTTCCTTGGTAGACAAACTGAAGTGTTGGTCAGCAACAATGCATGCTCCTAAGACCAGAGCTTGTGCCTCCAACCTACTTTATTTTTTTTGTTACCCATGAGAAAAATAAAATATTAAATTTAATGACAGAGCAGGCAAAGTATAGAGGAAAGGACCCCTGAACCCAACATACTAAGGCCTGGAACTTTTGCCAGCTCTCAGATTAGAGTTATCCTGAGGGGTGAAAACATTATGTGCATGTATCCTACGAATTCATTTGGAAACAGGATTACAAATTGTTTCTTTCACCAAAGCACATGAGAAAACTTGAGAGGATCAGTCTTCTATAAACATTTCAGCAGCTTATGCTCCACATCACCCACAACACCCACAGCACCTGCAACGGAGTTCTGGCTTCCTACAATGCAATTATTTATCAGAGCAGCATTTAACACACCTAACTGATGGTATGCAAAATGAAACTTATTCCTTTTTTTCCAGGCAGTATCTTGCTAATGGTTACTGAGCCTTTCACTCTTCAAGCCCACGTTAACAATGAAATGTGGAACTACCTACCAAAGTCATGAAAAGATTTAGCTTGATATGATAAAAATGAGTAAACTCTAAGTTTAAAAACTGAACTCTGATACAAATTCAGGGTTCCTGGTACATCTGTGTGCCACAGGGAGGGTGGAAAGGAGAAAAGCTGCTCTGATACAGTACCAGGAGGTTTTACAATGTGCAGCATGCATGCTACGTCCACATGCTGTGTCTCTATGCCTAGGGAGGCAAACAGCAACAAATTTGACACCTATTCTACTGATGTGGCTTTTGGTCTTCTCCACACTGCTGTAGGGGGCAGGAGGCAGAGAGGCTCCTTGGATCCCCTTTGCGATGTTCATACCCCACCCGGGACCTGGAGTGATGGGTTCTGCTGGGGCTACTGCAGACAAGCACCACAGGTCAAGAGCCCTGGCACGATGGAAGAGTCCAGTCTGCTGCCCAGACAACCCGGGCATGCTTTGACACGCTGCCCGTCCCCTCGCTGCTCTGTATCCCTCCCAGAGTGCTCACAGAGAATGGCTACAGCTCAGCTTTCTGTTTTCTGCAAAAACTTCTCTTAGTGACTCCTCTTAGTCAAAACAAAAGAATTCAGAACTCAACCCAGTACAAACATAATGTGAAAAAATGATCTAGGAAAAAGATTTCTCCTCTGCAAAGCTTTATCCATCAATTACCTGTTTTATGTAAAACTGTCACCAGCTTCTTATTATCCTGCCATAAACGAGAAATTTCCTTTTAAACACCCTGCCTGGATGACTGACATCTCATCGTTACTACAAACAGGAACAGCTACACTATTAAATTGCCAAAGGGAATTTTTTCACCAAATACGAAGGGCACCCGGGAGCTGACAGGGAGCAGACGGGTCCACAGTTTACGGAGCTGCCTGGCAGCACAGGGAACAGCTTTCAGGGGTTGTCATCTTCACTTGCCTCTGCTCAACTCATTTTTACGTTGCACAGCTGAGCCTATTCTTTGCCCTGTTGATTCCGTGCTGCTGCGGCTCATGCTGAAACAACTTTCTTCCTTTAACTTCTTTTAACTCCTAATATATTCCACATTCTACCAAGCATTGCTGCCAGCCCTCACCCTATTATCACAATGGGCCTGTACCCCTAAGCTTCCAGCTCCAGTAGTCATCATCATATTTACGTGAGAAAGCCATTTGCAAGACCCACTTGAACAAGAGAGCAAGGAAAAGCCACCACTGTTTCATAAAAGCGTTTTAAAATAACCTCATAACTTTCAGGGGCTGAGATGCATTTTTTGGGACATTTTGATTCAGCTGGAGTTGGAACTGCAGCTCACTGTGCTACTGAACAGCAGGAATTAACCCTGTCTTTGGGTTCTATAAACATGGAAAGCGTATAGAACTTCCTTCAAGATTTACACTTGAGTTCATAACTAAAAAGCCTGACTTTAGCCTCAGCAAAGATGAACTCCTTGCATCCATTACTCCCAATTACCCAGCTAGTATTCACTCCACCTATCTCAGTTCTCACGATGGAGGGCTGTGACCTGATACACCAACACTTTTATGGTGTGAGCAGAAGACAGTAGGAGTTAGGTACTCCTGCTTCAGCTCTGGTTTTGATGCTCAGTGAGTAGTACTGGATTCGCACTGTGTAACACCGTTGCTGATGGGTGGAACTGATTCTTAACACCTTTACTTGGGGCAGACCATTCCTCTGCAATAAATCTATCTTTCCTTTCCAGGGGACTCAAGATGTTCATCTGCAGAAGAACTTGATGATTGATGTAAGAGGAAAGTATACTTGAAGTGTATTGTATCTTCTGTATGATCCTATTGACATTCTATGAAGCCTAAAATACGAATCTGCTCATTTTTTTTTGTTTTCCTTCTCCCTCCTCCCTATATACTTCACCTTCTGAGAGGGACAGGAGTGATAGCTATAGATTTTTCTGCACTGAGTCTCCTCCTGCACAACAATAATTTTTAATTTCTCCCTGTTAAGGTCAACACAATATACAGGGAGTGCAGACTGTAATAATGTGTTTGAAATAGATATTGAACCTTTCCTGCTTCACTGGAGTTCTACATTCTGCAAAGTCAGCTGGAGGGGATTTCAACATAGTTAGAAATGTGTATTTCTAAAAAAAAACCCTGTACCTTAGGAAAAATTCCAAGACCTGACAGTTCCAAAAGGCTGTATTTAGGGATGCATAAAATAATAAGTGGTCTGATCTAACCCCAAAGTTAACCTGAACCATTTTAAAGGAGTTTTCCATGGCTTTTATAACTCTTTTCCCCTGACCCAATACACATCTGGTTCTAGTTGGCACCAAAAGATAGACGTATTTAAATGTCATGAAAAAGGCTAATCTTGTATTTCTGTCTTGTTGGGAGACAGGAAGTACTAGAAATCTCATAAGAAAGGCAGTTCTCGGACATTCAGCCACTTTTTACACCAAAAAAAAACCCTGTACCTTAGGAAAAATTCCAAGACCTGACAGTTCCAAAAGGCTGTATTTAGGGATGCATAAAATAATAAGTGGTCTGATCTAACCCCAAAGTTAACCTGAACCATTTTAAAGGAGTTTTCCATGGCTTTTATAACTCTTTTCCCCTGACCCAATACACATCTGGTTCTAGTTGGCACCAAAAGATAGACGTATTTAAATGTCATGAAAAAGGCTAATCTTGTATTTCTGTCTTGTTGGGAGACAGGAAGTACTAGAAATCTCATAAGAAAGGCAGTTCTCCTCGGACATTCAGCCACTTTTTACATAGTCAAGTGATTTACATAGCTCAGAGAAGAATTCAAATTTTTGTATTAGCCAAACTGACCCTCTCAACCTCCAGAGGCTCATCCATCACTAGGTAGAGGTTACTAGAAGACACTGGAAAGGCTGCTCAGCCTAACAGCCAGCCATGAAGTTCTTGATCTTTTGTATCCTTGCTCTGTCCTTTAGGAAAATCCAATAAATGAAATAGTATTTAAGAACACTTTTTGACAGGGAAGAGAAGTGGTGGATTACTCAAAGGGCTAGAGAAAGAAAATAAAACCAGTCCAAATCTTGTAATTCCACATTAATCTTTACTTTTTTCGTAGTCAAGCTTTTGTTACCAAGGTAGATCTGAGTAAACGTAACAAAATTAATATGGACTTTGGGACTGCTAAATATTTACTACAATTCATCTATAGAAAACCCTACAGTCATAAAGTACATTTTCCATAAATGACTTCAATTTGGTTTGAGGTAGTGATATAGCCCTTGAATGTTTCTGAAGAGCTGTACTGTACCTGTTTAAGATTTAATGAAAACCAATAGGAATGAGTTGCTGAAGTTACTTTCAAAATGATACATGTTTTTTAAGTGGCTGAAACCCTTTGGAATTTTCAACCCATGAGCCACTTCTACAATGGTATTTGAGAGGTGATGTGTATGCACTTAGTGTCTTTTTTCACAAAAGGAAAACCTGAAACCAAAGCTTGCCTGTGGTTACAAGAAAAGGCTCGCACTGAATCTAGAAACCAAACATCCCTGCACCCATTTTCATGCTCAGACCACGCTTCTCTTTATGACCTTATTATATCCACAGCAAAAGGCGTGCCTACCAGTGACGAAATACTGGGGTTTCACAAGTCTTATCTTCTCAGCAGGTTCTGCTGGCATCCTTGTGGCAGAACAGAACTCACAGCATGTATCAGTGCTAATGGAAGAACATGTTAATATTTTAAGCAGGCAAGAAACAATTTGTGAAGAATGTGTTCATTTACCTTTTTGATCTTCTTTTTTTCCTTCCAATGCTGATGCTTTTTCTGATAAAGCCTCATTATCTCCACTGGCTTTTACTACATTTTCTTCCTGTATGGTTTCTTCACCAACCGCTATGGTGTGTCCATTTGAAGTTTCAAAATTTACTGTTACATCACCGTCTGAAATGAAAATTAAAAAGCTATTGTTGAGTTTAACTGTTTCCTTAGCACCTATTGACAACACACAGCATCCCTCTGCTTTCAAGTCTCCATGGAAGCAAAGCAGAAAGACTTACTGAAGTGTGAGAAACATCAGGCTGCAGATCTGCTCTGAAAAGTTAACGCTGTAAAGGAACTCTATAGGCTTCCAAGCTCTTTGGGGGGACCACTCTGCAGCAGTGGGCCTAGTTTTCAGGTCCAGGCTTCTGTCTGAACACATTCGCATCCTGTTCTCTTCCTCCCTGCATCTTGGTTTACACAGCAAAGAAATGTGTGCACAGACCACAACTGAGCTGCAACGTCTTCCAACAGGCCCCAAAATCTGGACAATTGTGAGGCAGAGCTGCAGGACCATTGTGGGGCATCCCAGTAGGTAGATCAACCAGGAATTCAGCCAGAAGTTCTCAGAATATGTGTGCCCAGTTAATGAATAAAAATAGGTCATGAAGTCATCATCTAGTCTTAAGAACGAAGGTGAGGTCTTCCTGTATCACTTATCATACCATTATTGAAATCTGCAAGTCAAATTCTTTCCCAGCTCTGATGATAATTTACTCACTTACCCAGACTGCCTCAGCTATGAGGATTATTTTTTTTCCAATCCTGATAAAAACTTCTTTCTCTTTCCCATTTGCCTCTATATTCCTGAAAAATGCTACATACTCTTGCTGGCTCAACAGTTTGCCCTCTTCCCTTATTTACCAATTTCTGTTCTCTGTTCCATGCATTTTAAAATTGCTGCTGATATTCCTCTCTGGTCACTTCTAAGGCTTTTTATCCTTACACTGCCCACACCTCGTTTGCACTTCACGTAGACGACTGGTTTCCGTCTGCAGGATTCTCTTGCTGTCCATTTAAAAATTATGCAAATCCATCTGGCGTCTCATTTGGTTCCTCCCGTTGTTTCTTCATTAATTGTGGTAATTCCACTCTCTTCTTCTTCTCCTCTTTCTTGCTGTATGCTATCAGACGTGGATGTTTGGCAGTTCCCTGGTTTTAACACAATTATGCAGCCTCTCTCCTACCCCCTTGGGCTGCTCCATGTGCTAAGCTGATGGTTCCATTCTCACCCACACACAAACTTCAACTTGACGTGTAAAATCTAAATTCTGTGCTCTTTACCTTGTCTCGTTCACTATAGCTGAGAGCTGCACAAGGCTTCCTTCTTACCTTACCATGACATTCAGGTTCTTCAGCTCCTTTCTTCCAGATGTTCATAAAACCATTCTTTCCTCTCTGCCTCCACATGTGGCACCCCCACCTCTTACCCATGTCATGGTCCTGCAAACACCTGCTGCCTCCAAGGGGCACTTGCCACCTTCCACTTCTTTCTTCTTCATCCCATGTGGAACTGTCACTTCTTCACAATTCTCACCTCTCATGTTTCAAGACTCTGTGTAATTTCCCCATCTAGCTTTCATCTCCATAGTCGTTCCTTCTAAGCACCTTCACACTGCTCACCCACTGTCTTTTCTGTACCTCCTTTTTTAGCACCTTCAAACCAATCTTGCCCTCTTTCAAACTCCTCCTTAAAATCTACAACTTCATCAGACAGGAAGCAACAAGGGCCAGATTGATGGCCACCTTAAGATGGGAGGAAGGAGAGAAAATTGTTCATCTTTCTGTGAGGGATTTGAAGTCCCATCCTCTTTTAAAAGTGGAGAGAGGGTCAGGGACACTGATGACCAAAGCATACACACTTTTAGCACAAATTATAGCATTTATCTTCAGACTGTTTGTAACCAACCTGAAACGTTAACACATTTCATTAACTGTCCCAGGAGTATAAATGCAATTTACAACCATCAATGGACAAACTCACACAGCTCCCCAGTAAAGCACACAGCAAAAAAAAAGTAACAAATTCACAAGAGGGACAAAGTGAGGTACGGAGAGTTTGCATTTCTTGTTTTAAGTCAAAGACAGTGGCAGAGACAAGTTGAGAAGCCAAGCTACGCTAAATGCCATAGCTTGGTAATTAGCGAAACACTGTAAAGACAAATGAGGCCACATGTCAACAAACCAGCCCTTTAATTCTAAATATCAATGTGTACGATACTAACCATACACATTGAGACTTTCATGATTCTTCAGCTCAGGCACAGTAACACAATTTCTAGGAGAAAAATATTTTTTGGAAATACTGGGGTTCCTAGACTCCTTGATAAAATGGTTTAATTTTAAACTACAGAAAATTATTTTACTCACTTGACTTTTGTTTCATCTAGATTTATGGAAGACCAAAAATATTAGAAAAATACCACTAAAAAACATAACCAGATGCAGCACAGTGGTGTTAACCGTGGTTTACTCAGGCTTTCTGAAACACAAGTATTGGTTAACAGATTTATAGAAGACCAAGAATATTAGAAAAATAGCACTAAAAACGCAACCAGATGCAGCCCAGAGGTGTTAACCGTGGTTTACTCATGCTTGTTGGAACACAAGTTCTGGTTAATACCAAGTCACTAAACCTTACAGCCTTAAGAAACATGTGGTGTCTTCCCCACAGTTTTATGTTTGTGCCATTTGTAAACGTAGTCCATGTGACAGCGGTGGGATTTGTACGATCCCACCACTGGTACTTTTTCATACCTGAAATGGATGCTACTGATATGGTTGGGGATGAACCAAAATTTCTCATGTTATACCCCAGTTGCTTTAGACAGCAGACCTTGATTCCAAAAAGGAGATTAATCACTTTAAACTTTAAAAAATTCTGCAAACAATAAGAAGGAACCACATGATTTACAAAATTCTGCAAACAATAAGAAGGAACCACAGGAGTCATGATTTAGAGGGAGCAACAAAATACTTAAGGATATGACCAGAAGTCAGATGGTGTATCTATAGCAGGAGCAGTTACAACTCCAACTCCAGTTTTTTGTCAACTAGCCCAAAGTATATCTCTCACACATCAGCTTTGTCTCCTCATATCTATTTATACCACCTGGAAACAATGCAACAGCAGCTTTATCATCCATGTTTAGCACTTAGGAGCTAAGTTCTAGGTAACGTGGTATCACCTTGCTCGGGCATTTCCTTCAGCACTCCCCTTCTTATCAGCTCCTCTCTGCTTTGTCTTGTCGAAATCTTCCTTTCCAACACTAAAGAAAAAGCACAGTTAAGAACAGATTTATTTTCATACTGCTGATGTTTGTGAAAAATGTAGGAAAAGATTAGTATTTTGTAAAGAAACCCTGAGAAATCTTGTTTCCTCTGACTCCGCGGAAGCAGTGGTCTGGGGGATTCATCTGAACCAAAGCCTTCAGCTGAGCCAGGCTCCATAAGGTTTCCTTTACAGTCAAGGGAAAAAAGCACTTCCAGAGCGAAACTGAACTCATCCTGGCATTGGCATTTAGTATGCAAAAGCACCTATTTACCATTGACTGGGGTGAGTGAGTAGCTCAGCTGGAGATACGTCCGTCTGCTTTGCAAATGTCCTGAGTTGGGAGAGACAAATCCTGCTCAGAGCAAGCAACTCAAAGGGTAGCCTTTATGACATACAAACCGTTTTAAAGGAAGAAAAATAACCAGAAGCTAGAAAGTTCTGTTCTTAAAGGGAACAACATCCTCATCCAGGCTGGTTGGCTTCCATGGAAAAAAATGCAGCATCCTTTTTTTTGGGTTAAAAAAAGAAGAAGAGTACAACACACAAAAAAAGACTGTGACATTAAACATTTTAATTATTATGTTTATTTCCCACGGGAAAAAATGCTAAATAGTTTTACAGGGAAAAGCATTCACAGATGGCAAAATAGAGTAACTCCCCACTGCACCCCACCGCCAAACCAATACAGTTTTGGTCAGTGCTTTGGGAGGCCACTGTAATGATCCACAGAACCATGGTGCACAGTCCATAAAATGTGAGCATCACTTGTAAAAGCCTGTCTTAACCGTTAGGAAAAGTTCATCTCCCATCCTGATGCTGTTTACATGTGGACATCAAACCCCAAGCGACAGTCAGAGCCCAAGCCGAGGGCAAAGCTTCAGCCGTGCTGGACTTTATCCTATTAATGCTATGGGATAGGCTTATTTATCTCATCAACTAATTCAAACACTCCGGTAATCCAATTACTCTCTAGGTCTAATTGCTGTATGCAGATTAAACGCTGCAAGAAGTGTTTTCCATCTCACTTGGGCCAGCCCAGTTGGAGGGAGCACCCGTATGGCGAAGCAATGGCCCCCGTGAAGGTGTGGAGAGAGGTGCTTCAGTGCTTCTGAGAAACTCACCCTCCAGCCACAGCAGCTGATGAACGTCTCTCCCCACAGCAGGTAACCCCAGCTGCACCCCACCGCCAAACCAATACAGTTTTGGTCAGTGCTTTGGGAGGCCACTGTAATGATCCACAGAACCATGGTGCACAGTCCATAAAATGTGAGCATCACTTGTAAAAGCCTGTCTTAACCGTTAGGAAAAGTTCATCTCCCATCCTGATGCTGTTTACATGTGGACATCAAACCCCAAGCGACAGTCAGAGCCCAAGCCGAGGGCAAAGCTTCAGCCGTGCTGGACTTTATCCTATTAATGCTATGGGATAGGCTTATTTATCTCATCAACTAATTCAAACACTCCGGTAATCCAATTACTCTCTAGGTCTAATTGCTGTATGCAGATTAAATGCTGCAAGAAGTGTTGTCCATCTCACTTGGGCCAGCCCAGTGGAGGGAGCAGCCGTACGGTGAAGCAATGGCTCCCGTGAAGGTGTGGAGAGAGGTGCTTCGGTGCTTCTGAGACACTCACCCTCCAGCCACAGCAGCTGATGAACGTCTCTCCCCGCAGCAGGTAATCCCAGCTGCTGACCTGCAACCAGGCTGGCTGAACCCAAGCCGCCCAAAGGCATCCCCCCTCACAGCTTCCCACTCCCCTTCTCCACCAGGGAAGGGGACGGTTGAACAGAATTTCACTGAATTTTTAGAGTTGGAAGGGACCATAGAGATCATCTAGTCCAACTCCCCTGCTGAAGCAGGATTGCCTAGAGCTTGTCAGAGCATGTTACTCAGGGCTGCATCCAGGCGGGTCTTGAAAATCTCCAGAGAAGGGGACTCCACAACCTCCCTGGGCAGCCTGTTCCAGGGCTCTGTCACCCTCACTATGAAGTAGTTTTTTCTCATATTTGAGTGGAACCTCCTATGTTCCAGCTTATACTCATTACCCCTCATCCTCTCCCTAGCAACTGCTGAAAGGAGTCTGGCTCCCTTCTCCTTCAAACCACCCTTTAGGTACTTATAGGCATTGATAAGGTCTCGCCTCAGCCTTCTCTTCTCCAGACTAAAGAGTCCCAGCTCTTTCAGTCCTTCTTCATAAGGGAGGTGCTCCAATCCTTGAATCATCTTCATTACCCTTCGCTAGACTCTTTCCAGTAGCTCCTTGTCCCTCTTGAACTGGGGAGCCCAGAACTGGACGCAGTACTCCAGCTGTGGCCTCACCAGTGCAGAGTAGAGAGGGAGAATGTTATCAAACATGCTGACGTTTGTTAAGTGTTCAAGTTGAGGTACCTTTTCAGGTGTGATTTCCCACATTAAAATTGTGATAAATAAGAAAACCAAACAAACGACCCAAAGTACGACGCAGTACTCCAGCTGTGGCCTCACCAGTGCAGAGTAGAGAGGGAGAATGACCTCCCTTGAGCTACTAGCCACGCTCTTCCCTCTGCAGCCCAGGATTCCATTGGCCTTCCTGGCCACGAGAGCACACTGCTTGCTCATTGTCATTTTACTGTCTACCAGGACCCCCAGGTCTATCTTTTCAGAAGAGGAAGCAGATTCTGCGCTTCCCAGATTTACAGCACTGGGTTTATTCCTCACCTGGCAAAGTGCGGGCATTCAGCAGATGCTCCACATGGGATGCATCTCCCTGCCAAAAAAAGCAGTGACTCCTGGCAGAAGAAGTGGGGGCCATGACCATTCTGACTAGCCCAGCTCAAACCACCCATGCCTGTGAGATCAACAGCTCGTGAATGCAAACAGTACTGGTGCACGAACATGTAACTTGGTCTGTGTTTATAAATTCAGGTACTTTGTGGGATTTGTCCATTAAAGGTCAAACCTTCACAGCATCCAAATCACATCTGTCAATATAAAGGAAGCCGTGAGGGTGGCTGCAGACCCTCTGTGTAAGCCAGCCTCCTTGGGGAGAGCCTGGCAGCCTGAACTGGGATCAGGTGAGACTGCCTTGGGTCCCAATCCTAAATTATTCAGGAGCTCTTCCAATTTTTCCGCATTACTTTGTAAGGTATATGCCTCTATATATGTGTCTCTCATACACATCATTGGCATGGCAGACAAAGCACAGGAGCATAAATTATTCAGGAGCTCTTCCAATTTTTCCCCATTACTTTTTAAGGTATATGCCTTCCAACTGTCTCTCACACACGTCATTGGCATGGCAAACAAAGCACAGGAGCGTGTCCTATTCCTGCAAAGAGTTTTTAATGCAGGTGAATATATATATATTCTCTTATTATTATTTCAGCTTTACAAATATAATTGACTTCCTACTATTTTTCCTCTCTACTTCCTTTTTACATCTGTTTTCTTGGGGACAGTGAAATGAGATGATGTATTTATTTGTGGGACTTAATCCACTTGAAAACAAGGATGCTCTTCCCATCAAGTTCAAGAACATTGAACCAGACCCCCCATCAATGTCTCTCTCTAGTTTTCTATGCATTTTTTCAGTTCTACAACATTGAATTAACATATGTATCGAATTAATTATCATGGGAAATGTCAATTGGCATTAAAAGATATTAACTCCTTACACTTTTACTGGAAGACCTCAAAGCATTTTATTAACATTACTCAGGTTTCATAACATCCCTCAGACATAGCTATCTCCATTTCACAGATTAGAAAATTTATGAACAGATAAGAAGCTTAAGCCCCAATCCTTCATCATCTAAAATGCTAGCCATGAGTGGTGTTTTTATTTAAACTGATTAAGCTCAGTTAATTCAACTTGAAAAGACAATTTATTTAAAATATTATTTGGCCCATGGAAAGAACATTAGAAATCATACTAGTATTCACTAGGAGTATCATAATTCTAATTCCTTCAAAGAAAAAGGCAGAATTTTAATTTAAGGCAAAGTGACCAAAAATATGTCCCCTTGTCTAAGAGGAATGAGTAGCCTGTCTACTTATGAACCTGTACTGGGTGCTACCTAACCAGGGTGGATTCATTATTATAACACGTTGCTTACTACAGACTTTGGACTATACAATACATTTCACGTTTACACAGTCAAGTATTTTGATTATCACAGTCCAATTGCACTGAGGTTTAAGGGTCTCAAACTACTCAGCTAAGTTGATCACATTTGACTGCTGTTATGTTTCAGTAACCTCTCTTGAAGTAAGAGTTACAAAATCAAGCATTCAGAAGTCAGGAAACATCTGAACGAAGGCTGATGGGTGTGCAGATGGTACAGCTTTTATTTGCTTGTTTTATATTTTACCTTTGCCATCCCTGCCTCGTTTAGGATACAGACTGCGCTGTGTTTAATGAACAGTTTCTTTACCTAAATTTTTAACCTTACCTTTCAACCTAGCACCCAGACGTCACGCGAGGAACAACCTAAACCTTCATTTAAACAGAAAACTCTTAGTTTTCACAAACGTCACCCCAGCAACTGAGTGAACCAAAGACAACATGTTTTTCTCCTTGATGCCCATGTGAGATGTGTAAAGATGCTATCATGACTGTATACATAGGATATAGCATAGAAAGATTAAGTCATATTATCAAACATGCTGACGCTTGTTAAGTTTTCAAGTTGAGGTACCTTTTCAGGTGTGATTTCCCACATTAAAATTGCGATAAATAAGAAAACCAAACAAACAACCCAAAGCATAGGAATTCTAGCTGAATTGCCTACTTATGGTTCAAAATATCTAAGCAAAAGAAGCGAAGCTATGAGCATTGGCCATCTGCTGCTGAGATAACGGCAGTGACAACTGTAGAAACACCCGAGATGGGTGTCACTGTGTCAGCTCAGAAATAGTTCGGCCTCCTGAGTTCCATACAGGCAGAGGGCTATAGCTCGGTGCTTCCACCATTGTCCCACTTGTCATGTTCACCACCCCCATCATGACTTCATCGTCA